GATGAAGGCGTGCATGCTTCCTATTCGCCGTCGGGAGAGACCAGCCTTTGCGGATCTGTGATTGGTTGTTGCAGAGGCCGCCTTCAGTGCAGACGCACGCGTTAGGAGCGGTGGGCCTTCGGACATGCTTGCTTATGTGGAGTGAGTCACCACAGGCGGAATCGGTGTCGAATGCCTCTGTTGTGCAGTCAGGCAACAGGCGAAGGTCACTGTTGTTGAATCAAAACTATCCCTGCCTGCTTGCCTCACCATATTATAGAGGCCGATAAGCAGATCCGGACTTCCTAGTTCGCCCACTCCAGTGTTCTGCTGCATAACTGGCATCTATCGATATCGGTATACGACAAAAATAGAAAAAGCTACGCAGTTGGACTACTCCACAAAACAGCACCCAAGAACTACAAAGCCTGGCACGTTAAACATTGGGTCATAGCCGGAGTAAACGGTGTTTGTCTAAACAGTGTACCATCACACACACTTTTGACACATTCTTCAGGTTCTCTACCAGAGTTTTCCAGCTACACGGTCACGTCTCGTTCGAAAGCCAATCTGGGTATGTGCGGTACGGTGAGTATTATGAAATACCTGCGTGCACGTGAATCTAAAAGAGATTATGACGTTTCAGCAAATGTACAGGGCTCACTCCAGATAATTGTTTGTGCATTTCCACGTGGTCAATCATCATTGAATGTCATTGTGAAGGCTATTCCCAAATTCAATTTTCTTCTCACAGAGTTTTGCTGCACAGTTAGGCACCTCACGTGATTTATTCCGACTGTTTTTAAATACCCCTTGTTGTCCGGTGGTGGATGTACAGAATATTAACAAAAAGGGCTGTCGTTCACAAGAAAACCTCTTCGATTAAGTCCATTCAACCCGCGCATGATTTCTACAAAGAAAAACAACAAGCCGCTTAATGTGGAATAATAAAAAAAACGTTCAGTTACCAAAGGCCAGTCCTCTAATTATTTTTATACACGACGCTCCCGTGTTTGCGAGGCCCATACCGGGTTTGGAAAAGCATGTTCATTATTGATTGGCATCTTTAAATTGCCCACGATACCGGAGCTCGTGCAGCCCTGAGGGGCGCAAAATATGGCCATTGAACCAGGCGATCCCCGCCTTCCTCGCTATGTCGAGGGGTCGGTAGAACCGGTCTATCGAAAAAAATCCTCTTCAAAGGGCGTCGCCCTCTATCTTATGCACAGAGACTACTGGTCAAATGCAGAAAAAAACTATCGAATGCGAAGTGAAGGCAAGTATGAGCAGCCCCACGAATGCACGGGAGTGGAGCCACCCGATTGGAAGCCGGGTTACGAGCCCTCGCTTGACGGTTGGGTGGAGGGTATCGCGCATGTCAACCCCTGGTTACTGGACTTTGGAAGTTATGTTTATGCTCAAGTTGAAGCCCACTACCGGTTTTATCGCAGCGAACTGGATGCATATGATTTTGAGATCGACGAAACCATCTTTTCAGCGAGGATTCAGCTGAATCCTCCGCCCTGCGCTCGAGAAGGTTTCAGCTGTTTTGCCAATCCACCACACGACCTTAACAGCTACAGTGCACCACTGCGTCAGCTGTATGAAAAACTCGGTGGTCCCGCTGGAGCCCGATCAATGGAACATGAACTACTAACACCCTATGGTGTCATTCCCGGACATGCTTTAAACAATCGCTCGAAGTATACATTTGTGCCGCAGACAAAGGCAGTCAAAGCGTCGGGATTTCCTGATCACCCTTATGTGACCTATAATTTCCCCTTCCGGTTTGATATAAAC